GTGAGTAGTGGGGTTCGTGCAACAACAAGCACCTCAAGTATTGTCCAGTCAAGTTTTGAATATATCCAAGGATGGAATTTCCACAACTTTTTTTTTTGATCAGACCTTCTGATGTTTGACCACTTTCATTGTGGAAAATTTTCATAACATCTAACTGGAGTGTCCTTTTATTGCAGTTTCAGTTGGGATTTTTTTGTCCTGTCACTGTGCATCACTGAAAAGAAGCTGGCTTTATACTGTGTAATGATCACCTGTTAGATACCTGGAGGCACAGATTAGATTTCTTTTGAGCTGCTTGTCTTCTGCATGCTGAACAAATTCAAACTCTGTAGCCTGTCCTCATATGAGTGTGTTGATTGCTGACTTCTAGACTTGCTGAATTATTCTGTTATTGCTGAGTGATTAATATGGCAGATTAAATTCAGTTTATGTATGTGTCTCATGGGGAGAAATGTAATCCAAATAAGTGCTAAAAAAAAAAGGCATATGTACCTCTTTAGATGTCATTACTATTTGAAGGAAAATAAGGTCATGGATGGTTTTTCTAAACGTATTTACTCTGAACCGAAAAAAAACCCAAAAAGAAAAAAGAAAGGATAATTACAACATGGAGACTGGAAAAAAAATTATTTTAGCATAGAGATTTATTGTTTGTCCTGTATTAAATGCTGTATGCAGTTCTGGCTACCCTGTCTCAGAAGAAGTATGATACACTCAATCAGACTGAATATAAAGATGCAAGAGGGAAGAGTACATCTTCTATAAAAAGACAGACTGAATCAAAACATTGCTTCATTTTGGAGAAGAAATTAGTATGAACAGATCTGATTTAGGCATATAAAATCATAGGTTTCAAGACGAACTTCGGCAGGGATAATTAATTCATATTTCTCACAGTAGAGGAATTAAAGTATGAGTAAGTTCAAAACAAAGGGGGTTTAATGTGTTGGTGGTGCTTGAGCATGTTCTGTAACTGATTACAATAAAAGCAGTGAAGCCAAAGTAATATTGATGGAACTAAATGTTCTTAAAGCTTATTCCTGGATGTTGGGAGGACATAGCCAGGGCAAAAGTATTGCAGGATGCTAGCACTTTTTTCAGTGTTCTTTGTCTAAGTACTTTGTGGTGATCAGAAATAGGATACTGGGCTAAATCAGTCTTCGATCTACACAGTATTGCAGTTATTTTATTCTTAAAAATAAATGTCATGTAAATGTGATTATACAGGCAAGAAATTATTAATATTAGCTGGAGATGAGCAAATTGGCTTCAGAAATAGCTTTCAGCAACCACTTTTGTTTCCTCCAGAACAGGATCTCTCAAATTCTTGAACTATTTGTTTATTCTGCAAAGAATTACACGATTTGAGGAACTAATTCTTAGCTTCTAGTGCCTCAAGGAATGTTTAAGTCCTTAAAGTAGGAATAGCTTTTCTTCTATTGCAATCAAAATGTTTTGTGTATGAATATGAATGCAGTTATATGTAGCAATTAAGAGCTGTATTAGTATCTGAATTAGCAGCTCTGGAATATAGCCAGCTTGTGGCCAGGAAAGCAGCCAGTAGCCTAGAGGAGAAATGCTTTAATTATTATGTAATAGCTGCTCTAGAGAGCTCCCAGTGTTCTGTCCAGCTGCATTTGTAACTTTTTTGTATTGTTTGGGACAGTTGAAATTTCTATTTTAAAAAATGTGGAAGACAACTCATTGTACATTTTTCATACTGCATAGAAAGTGTAAGAATGCTGGAAAGCTTACTTGAACAGAGCAAAATTGAAAGTTACTTGATCTATTGAATATACTTGATAGCTGTCAATTTCTTCATAGGATGAGAATGTTGCAGCAAGAGTTACTTGCCTTAAGGAAATTAAAGATTTATGCATGTGCTGTTCTGTTTCTATCTTTATGAAGAAACCTAGCATCAAAAATAATTAAGGATGAATACAGTACATTTTCTTGAACTATGGATACATGTGAAGTTTAACTTCAGGAACATTCTATCCAATAGATAATAAAGCTGTTCATACAAGACATGCCAACAATATCTGTTATGTTTCTGTAGACCACAAGAGCCTCGCATTAACTTGACATTGTAATTTAATGACTCCAGTTTTTATTAGGTAGATAAGTGGTATAGTATGGGCTTCCATTTCTTTAGTGGGACTTCTTTGCGCGTAACCAGTCTGTTCTGAAATGCTTCAGGTAGAGCCGTTGTTCTTCCTGTTAACTGTCTGTTGTGTTGAAAACCAATGGAAACCTTTCTTCCCTTTTATGCTTTGCCCTGTCATTGTTGTAACAAAAAAAGGAGAGAATCAAGGGAAAAGAAAGGCTTACTTCTTTCATTAGTACCTGGAAGCATGAAGAGACAAAATCAGCACATTGTTAACTCAGTGTAACTTGCACTGAATGGCTTCACTTCAAGCTTTTATATTCCAATTATTTTATTAGCTGTGTAAACCATTAAAAACACTGTAAACTTGATTTCAGTAAGGAGAATGCTAATTAAATCACAGCCTGTAGCTCTGAGGTAATTTAGTCTGTTACTTCATGCAAGCTACTTAAACTCAGTTTCAGATGCCCGCTTTCTTTGCTTATCTTCATGAATAGAGTGCATGTACCTGTCCATGTGCAATGGGATTCTCAAAAGAAAGTAATCTCTGGTGGGCTTGTCTAGTGCTAGTTGCCTTTGTGTCTTCTTGTATCTAGGCAGGGAGGGTGACAGGAAGTTCAGCCATTTCATGGTACCTTCATACCATATGAAACTTCTGTTGACAGTGAGTCTTGTGATGCCCACTTCTCAAGATTAAGCTGCCTTTTCTCTTGGCCTTGCGGATACCCCCAGGTGTCACAGGTACTTTGTTTCATAGTGCTGCCCTGCTAATCACACAGATGCTGAGGACTGTTCATGGTGGTGTAGCTACCATTTATTTGGGAGGATGACAAGAAGACATGGACATTCCTAGTGTCTGCAGTTTCCTTTTGTACAGTAAAACTTCAGGCTCACTCTGGGAAAGATAAGTAAAAAGATGAGGAGTCTTGTAGAAGTTGGACTTCTTAGAAGCTTTGTAACTGGCTGGTCTCCAGGCTATACGAGAGCATCTGTTCTCTCTGACTCCTGCTTTCAAATTGTATTTGGTATAATGTTGTCTTGTACCATCAGTAACCACATAGGCTGTAAAATGGGGCAGATCTCCAACTCATCTCCTGCAACACCCAAGGTGTATTTGAGCCTTCCTTGATGGCAGAGGAAGAGAAAGAACAGACCTTTCATAAATTCAGTCTTTGCCTTTCAGTCACTGTCACAGGCCTTTTTCCTCCTAGTCCTTTGTGCTCTCCCTTCATACTGCTTGAGTGTTTGATGCAGAAGGGCAAGGCTGACAGCGGTATTATATATGGGTTAGTCCTACCCAGGAAACACAGAAAATGCCCATGAAAGTACCTCACTCTTCAGACTGTGCCTTGAAACACATTTATCACATGCTCAAAAAACATACCCAATAACACCATCCTCCCACCCCAAACAGTTATGTCATGATTCACTGAGATCACTGTTTGCCCTAAAATAAAGGTCTTGTTTCTTGTACTAATTTCTTGTTTTCTCTAGACATCTGGTTTTTTTGTCTTTAGTGCCTTGCACAATGTGTCTAGCTCACTGGCACTTTAACAACATATCTTCTAAGCCTTGGTATTGGTAGATATACTTGCAAATATTCTTCATCAGGTCTTGGGGTATATATATGTTTTTCCAGATAGTTTTATTTACCCTTATCATTGAATCACAATTGTGTATCCAAATGTGTCTTTAGGAAAGATATTGTAAAAAAAATTCCAGTGACACAGATTTATATCCATTCTAGGTTGAAAGAGGTCTTATGTTTTCTGTACCACTAAAAAAGAAGCTAAAGTGTTTTTTTCTCCCCGATGTATCTTGCATCAGCAGATTTTTCTACTTTTTGTTCAGACTATTTTTTCCCTGAAATAGATGGGGATATTTGCAATACATGGCAACACATATGCCAAATATACTAGTCGTAACTATTGTGCTATGGCAGCCTGATTCACCTTTATGTCCTGGGAGAACTATTAAGTGTAAGATCAGTAATGCCTGTTTCAAAGATTGTTAGATTGTAAGTGGGAAGTGATGTGGTCCTGAACATCCAAATGAAGTGAAGCAGAAAGCTGACTTTTAATTGAAAATTAAACAAATTCTGTTCTACTTAAGCTATTTGAAGATATTCTACCTAAGCTATTTGAAGTAAAAAGCACTGGTAGGTGATACTATAGTGGACTCATCTGAATTGAATCTTAATGATCTAAAGACTCATTTATAATCAAGTACAGTTTTAATGAGGTCTGTAAAGCCGGAGAAGTATCAGTTGTGGTGACATTGTTCCATCATATATGGAAATGGTTTTACTACACTGGTTTGTTTAGTATAAAGTAAAATCAAATTCCTAATGTGTATATTACAGTATAAAAGTCTGTTGTTGTTTACTCATTATAGATGTTCAATATTATCTAGAACTAGTAATTAATTAAAAAAATTATTTTTTTCAGCAAATCTACCTATTTAAAGTCAATAAAGTCTAGAATTAAGTCAAGTGAATTGAAGTCAGAATGGATATGAGACCTCAAAGGTATTTTTAATGACTTAGTCATCAGACTGCATATTAGGTTATTTACTAGAGGAATGTTTCTGTGTTTAAAAAAAAAAGGTAAAAGTAATAGCTACAAAAAAGTTAAATGCATTCTTTGAGCTGATAAAATCTAAATCAGTTGATTATGTAAATTGTTAGGCTTTTTTTACCATGTTAGGTAAATATATTTAAAAAGGCATTTAAATGTTTTTAAAATAGTTACCCAGTTGCTACCCTGCTTTAGTTCAGCAACATAAAATCTCAGATGAAAATAAATACTAGTCAAAAGCTGAAATCTCTTGGTCTTCTAAAATGTTTTTTTGTTTGGTTTTTTTTTTTTTTTTTTTTTTTTTTTTAATTTTGCAGCATGGGTGGGCTCTCTTTCTATGGGGATGGTCTTCTTCTGTTCTCCGATAGTGAGCATATTCACAGACCTATTTGGTTGTCGAAAAGTTGCTGTTGTTGGAGCTGCAGTGGGGCTTGCTGGACTCCTTGCAAGTTCTTTTGTAAGGTAAAAAAATTAAATTCTTAACTTTCAAAGTATTTTATCAGTTTTACAGGGTAGAGGTAATGCTGATTCTATCAACCGAATATGAAGGAGTAAACATAAATATAAAGTGATACTTTATATTATCTGTTAAAGTAGAAAACTTGTTTTGTTTTTTTGTCTTTCAAACTATGACTTGTGAACGTTCAACTTCAAAAGCAATTTAAAAAATACAATAGAATGTCATAACAGCACTCGCTATTTAATGGGAGCCACTATGTATAAATGTCTCAACAGCAAGACTATTGCTATAAGATAACAGCATTGTCCTGAATAAACTTGTTATATGTTTTCTTAATGTATGTTGTGTTTTAGCAGGTACATAAGCATTGTTGCTGTCTTCCCTCCCTGCTCTGTCCCCTCAATTTGCTTTTAAAACAGTTTTAATGTTGATAAATACACAGTAGGACCTCCAGGAAAGTGTTCATGTTCTAGTAAAATTTGTTGTTTTCATCTGTTTTCAGTGATTCAATTGCCAGACATGGAGATAGCAAAAACCTTAGTGTAATGATATATACTTAGGGCTTATTTTCTTTGTTAAGAAAATCTCTGGGTTTTTTGTGTTACTGAAAAAAACTTTGAGTGGGTTTTTTTCTCCAGTTTACAATTTTTGTACGTTTCTGTAACTTTAGCAGAATAAATCCTAAGAAATTCAAGAGCGACAGATTTGTTGGACGTGCCCGGTAGAAGATGAGGAAACAGGAAGTTTACTTATTCTAGTCATTAACAGAAATTGGTTAGTGAAGATAGGGTAAGAAGCAGCAGGAAAATAAGCCAGTTATCTCTAGTTCTCAGACTGCTGTTTTTTCCCCCCACCCTTGTCAGAGTAAGTAGAGGAACAATCAAGAGCTACATTTGGAAGAATTTCTTACATAGATGAAAATATATTTGTACAGACAAGCTTGTGAAAATGTCTCTTCTATGCTTGTTCTCTGAACCAGATAGATGTGAGCTGACTGTGATGTGGACGGATGACTGTCCATGCTGTGGCACTGTGCCTGATCTATTATTACATCTAGCTTGGATATATATCCACTAATGTGAAAACATGTCCACAAATTGACTGGAAGAGAAGGCAGATAGTTCTGTCTCAGATACTGAGACTAACGTTTATATTTATTCTTGGATTAACCTGTATTTGTGGGAAAAATAAAGTTTGTTTTCTTGTTACTTGAGCTAGTTTCCAATTTTTATTTTATTTTTTGGTTAATCCAAGTGCAAATATTTTGCTTAATTCATTTTATTAAAGCAAACAAAACTCCCACTTCCTGATATGTTTTAAGAAGCTGCTTACTAAAGGTGAGGTAAAAACTAAAAGGTGCATCTTGGAAAAGCCTTTCTTCTTCCTTGCTTCCTAATGGTATGTTAAGTGTTGAATACTAAACAAGACTTGTTATTATAGATTAAATCTCTTGATAAAGGATCAGTCTTGTGTTTGTCTGATATCCAATGGAACAAAGGCAAAGAAGAGGCATGCGAGAGGAATTTGTTTTGTAAAGGCTTTAAAAATATTTTAGCTTAATTGAATTTTGTTTTGAAGAGCCCTTTGAGAGTGAATTCTTCGAAGAGTACATGCCAGGTTGCTGTGCATACTTGGTGTTTCATTATGTTACTTACACTAAAATGATTTATGCCTATGATGTTATCAGTTAATTGAAGGAGTATAGTTCAGATATAGAAGTCCGTGTTCTAAAAGTAAAGTATTGTAAAGTAGACAAATGTAAATATGATTTACTGCTTTTTTTAATTTCTTAATATAAATTTTATCTCTTAGGAAGTTGAGATGTAAGAGTGCTTATAAAGTAGGACAATATTTTAATATGTATATTGTGCTTCAATCTGTAGATTCATTCAAAGAGTCTGCAGCACAAGTTCTTTGCCTTTACTGTATTATGTTCCTCCTCTCATTTTATAATGTCTGTTTTTATTTTTCCTGGTTATTTTTGATTGATAAAGGTAAAAAATAAGTCCCCTGTATGTTGTTTCTGCTGGCTTACATTGCATATAGTCAGTTTCAGGAATTGATAGTTTAATATAGAAAGTGACAATATTATATTATACAAACATTTTTCTCTATAATACACAAAACCAGAGTTCCTGCTGTCAGACTTTTATTAGTCAAATACTATTTTCTAAGAATTTCTTTAATTGTATGGGAAGCTTGTGGAGTGTATTTTTCTATAGAGGAGTGCTGTAGAAGTGCTTTCCTGTGATGGAAAACACTACATAAAGCGTTCATACTCCCCCTGAAAAAGTTAATATATGGTCTAATAGATTAAACTTCTGTAAATAAATGTTTCCTTTGACTTTATTAATACTACAAAACTAATTTAATTAGTTATACTGATACTGTTGCTTCATACCTTTAACATTTCTTGCACAAATATCTTTTAATGGCACACAATTGCCTGTGATCACTTACAACAGCTCTGCTTCATTTCAGTTGTATAGTAGATGGTAGAGATGGTGGAGAATCTTATGATGAAGATCCACCTTAGTATGAGTTGAAGTATTTCATGATTAACGTTTTTCAATCTTTCTTAGCATATTCAATATATGGATCAAAACACTGAATTTAAAATAATTAATCAAGAGGGAATTAGTTGTCTAAAAAATTTAATACCTAAAAAAAATTATCATTTGCAAATAATGTGTTTTATTACCAAAACTTGTCAATATTTAAATGTTTTATTTTTCATTAATAATGTTTACTGCTGTGGTACTGTATTTTAATAAGAAACCGTTTAAATATTTGACTTTTCTGGGTTCATGATGAGTGTTCAGTATTACGTTTGAACTGCTAGCACAGTGAAGAAATGTCTAAATCAAAACAGTACACCTTTCTTTGGAAAACAAAAACCCAGCTATGGTTGAATTTATATTTGGCTAATTTACCCCAACAATGATTTTTAAAACTTTTTAGCCACAATATTTGTTGTAATTATAATTGAATATAATTTTTCTTTTTTACTTGTTCAGTGAATTCTGTGAAATTTTCAGCGGAAGAAAATAGAGTAATCATTGAATTAAGCTGACACAGAGCATTTCAACTATAAGTATTTACAAACTCAACTTACTTCTGTAATTATGTTTGTTGATTGAAAAGCTGTCATGTATATAGTGGGTGAACATGAGCATCCACTGTCTTACAAAACAGTAATGATTTTTTCTTTTTTTTCTTTTGCTACAGCACCATTGAACCTCTATATTTCACCTACGGAATCTTGTTTGCCTGTGGCTGCTCCTTTGCGTACCAGCCGTCCTTGGTCATTCTTGGGCACTATTTCAAGAAACGCCTGGGACTAGTGAATGGCGTCGTCACTGCAGGCAGCAGCCTGTTCACAGTGTCACTGCCCTTCCTCTTGAGACTTTTGCTTGATTCTGTCAACCTGTTCAACACCTTGCGGGTCCTGTGCATCCTTATGTTTATTCTGTTCCTGGCTGGATTTACTTATAAGCCCCTTGTTTCCGACACCAAAGACAAGGAGGGAGGAAAGAAGGGGAAGTTCAAATTTCCCCCTGGAAAAAAGATTTGCAATTTCTCCGTTTTCAAAGTTCTCAGTTACCGAATCTGGGCTTTTGGGATCCCAGTTGCTCTTTTTGGATATTTTGTGCCTTATGTTCACTTGGTAAGTGCACGTTTCTTCCAACATATGACATGCTTGAAACTATAGCTATTTACCTTTGTGTTATGGACTAAGAAAGCAATTGCTGGTAGGAAGCAAAATTTAAATTGCAAGTTGTGTTTGGGGAAAAAAAAATAACTTGGTTGTTGTCTGGTTGAAAGAGGGCTTTAATCAGAACTATTAGTTAAGCCAGTTAAAATTTTTGTTCTTTGTCCTTGATCTAAAGCTTAAAATACTTTAACCATGAAAAGAGACATTTGAAAAATATTCTGTGCTGTTCCAAAGAGAATTCTTCATTTTGGTACTCAGTTGCATACATTGCCAATGACACTTGTGTGTTTTAGAGGAAGTGTGAAAGGAGTAAAAAACAGAAAATGGGTAAAAATTGTAATTTTCGCTCCTTTATATTGAGATATGTTAAAGTATTGATTTTTAGGATGCATTTTATTCACCATTTTTCAGCTTTATTAAGAGCAAAATACTTGTATTTTTCTGTCTCTCAAGCTTTAGCTTTGTGGTTTACTACTATAGCAGTGATATAACTGATCCTCCTACCTGGTCCCTACTAGCTGCTAGTTGAGCTGCGTTTTACTGCTGTCTACAGTGACTGACAGAGCTTTGGCTTCTGATGATGGAGAAGCTGTCAGTCAACCATCATTTCTTGTACATGTGCTAGAGTTAATTTGTTTCCCTAGCAGATTTTTTTCTGTAGTACACTGTTACACTAAGAAATTTAGGTGCAACTGGGAGATACAATGTATCTGACAGACACTCATTGCACTACTGAAATGGTGAATTATTTTTTAATGGCTCGCTGGTGGTGCTGTCTAAACTGAAGTGGTGTAAACCAAAAGGCTTAAAAGGGATAGATGTGGGGGGGAAAAAGAACCCACGACTTGCAGTGAGATGCTCTATTTAGACCATTACACATCCTTACGTTCAAGAGTATTTGATTGGACTAGTAGAAGTAGTATTCACTGTGAAAACAGAAGAATCATTTTAATATTTGTTATTCACTCATGATAGAACATTAAGATTAATGATAATAAATACTTTTTAATTCTGTCAAAAAATTTTCAATGACTTAAAAGCCCAGGGGGTTTTTATGCAATATTACAGGTGGTGTCACATCTTTCTGGTATTACATTGGTTAGATTACTGACTCTGCATCAGATACTTATTTTCAAAATTACCTTATGTTGGGGGCTAGTTTGTTTTTGAGCAGCTATAAACTGAATTTTATTAATGGCTAGTTCTTGTTACTTAGTTTTTAATCATGTAAATCTTACTCTTTAATACTTTGAATTAGGCTATTTCAAAGGATCGTACAATCTAAATGACTAAGCTGTTGTGACATCTTATGCTATTTCCTCATAAGCTTCATAAGTCTTCAGAGGAGTTGGTGATGTAGAGAAAGCTATTGGTCAAATCCTAAATGATTGTTAACTAATGCAGAGAATTGAAGAGTAAGGCTATACAAGCAGTCGAATAGAACTTCTGGAATACTTTATTGAACAAAAAGCTTGTAAGTTTTTACCAAGATGCTTGTACAAATGCTTCTAGTTTATAGGCTGGACTAAAGGTGCTGGTTGACTTGTAGAGGACAAAGTTCTTTATCTTTTTTTATATTATAGTATACATTTTTTCTTTATAGGGTGCTTTCACTCCTGTTGAACGAGGATAATACTTTTAATGGAAAGAGATGTTTATTTTTATGGAAACATGAATAAGGGAAGTGGCACTTGTTGCTGGTGGGCTATGATGTATCCTGGGGGGACTATTTAAAACCTTAGAAAGTCCATGTGGATCTGTATTTGAGGAAGTGAATAAATCAGTATTCATGAAGGAACAGTATGGATTCTGCCCTTCAACAGATACTTCAACTCAAGTAGATAGCTCTGGACACTTTTTGTCCTTGTTTTGTCTGCTTCTGATAAGTACTATGTACTGGTTCCAGAAGTACATAGAAGTACGCACTTACAAATAAATCAAGGGCTATAGGAAAAAATAAGTTTTTTTGCTGGTATGTCTACTAAACCACAGAGTGCTTACCTGATCTTTGGAAAATGAAAGTTATTATTGTCTCATTGCTGCAATTTTAAAAATGCAGTAAACAATACTGGAAAAGGGATATGATCCTTGAGTGACAGCTTTTGTTATGTTAAAATTCTTGAATTTTTCCCACTGCTAGGGTTGGCCAACAGCAGCCAGATTGCTAGAATGCTGGTTGCAAGCACACTAAGAAATAAACACTTATACAAACGAACCTGCTGCCTACAGCTCTCCTCTTAGACCTCAGAACTGGCTTCTCTACTTAACCAAGTCCCATTTTTCCCACCTGGAAGGATAGTTTCAGCTGGAATGGCTGCTCTTGACCATGTGATGGAGTGCAGGTGCCACAGGCCCTATGGATTGGAGTCCTTGTGTGTCACCCCTCAGGCCCATGGTGGCAGGAGGTCACAGATTCGGTGTGCTCGAGTCACTGCACATCAGCTGCTGAATGCCAGCTTGGCACAGCTGAGGAGCTCCTGAGGGTGCAGGCAGGGTTTCCATGTGCTTCAGGGCCAGCCCTGATTTCTGTTCCTGTCTCTTGCATTTTCTGAAGTGTATTGGAAAGGAGAACACACATTGTGAAACTTATAGTATGAAAGAAGTGAAAACTCATTTTGGGCTTTGGAATAATAGAATTGGCCAAGTATTTGCAATTTTAACTATCTGCACTGTATTTGCTGCATCAAGTAAAAACTGGAGAAATAACCTGCTTATGAAGTGGGCTCTAACTAAAACACATTGATTATATGGCAAGCTAGATATTCATGTCAAGGAGCTGGCAAGAATTACCCGTCCCTTACTGGTAGATATCAACTGCATGTGAAATAGGCATCATATTCCTTTTGGCTCTTGCAAGGGAGAACCAAAAGGGAAAGCTTTTCTTATCCCAGTTTAATTGGTGTCAAATTCCTTTAATAGGTGTTCCATTACATGTCACTTGGAAATTGGGTTGAGATAAACACTATAAATAAGTTTTGACTTAATTTTATTCTATACTTTCAGCATTAATTCAGATTGCTGAAGAACAAACTGAAGTCAAAAGATGACTAAATCAAATAGTTATTTCTCTCAATTTTAAAATCAATCTAAACTGCAGTGATTGAGAGTGGGGTTTTTTTTATGACCCTCTAAAATAGGCAAATTTTTTGATGGCTCTCCAAGATAGACAAAGAAAATCCTAGTTTAGTCCATTCGGGTTTAAATAGTGAGTTCACAACAGCAATCTGTCAGATTAGTTGAAAACACTTTCCAAGTGTTTTTAGTAAGGACTATCTTACAAGGCAATGATTAAGTACATTTGAAAGACAGTGTACCTACTCTCTGTGTCACTTGTCCTGTGCTTGTTTTGATAATAAATAGAGAACTTCTGTTTTTCAGCAGTCAGTCTGTCTGATGTTAAGGGTTTAGTGTTGTTCTTTTACCCTTAGAAAATATTTACTTAATCAGAATCATGCATCCTTAATTCTTATGAGCTTGTTAGGTCAAGTCTATTAAACTTTGATACAAAGTCACATGCCAGGTAGCTGAAAAGTTATGTTGTTGCTTTTTGTACTTTATTTAGCAGGTTGAAAAGAAATACTGCTTAAAGAGAAATACTGTTGCTGCCTAGTATTTTCTAAGCAGTGGCCAAGGTCATTAGCAAGTTTTGGTATGCGTTTAGGACAGTACTAATTATGACACACTTTCAAAAGAAGGGGCCCAGTATTGTGTTTTATTTTGATGTAGCAATATTCAGCCACTACGAGGAATACTAGTAGGACTGAGAATTTCATCTTAACACTTTTAATGCAGTGTTTCAGTCCTGTAGTAATTTGTCTTGGGACAAATACAGTTTAATTTAGCAGTTAATTTTATTAAATGCCTCTTGCTAATGATAGGTCCTGCCTTATTTATAGTGTCTTACACCTTGGAGGATGAAAAACTGAATTTAACAACTGAATAGTTGAACAAAATATTGCATATATTTGTGTTTTACTTTTTTTAAAAAAAAGCAGCTAGATTGTAGATAATGTAATAGAAATATGTATTGATAAAGTTTACCTTTCTATGTTGAAATATTTTTAGCAAAGAAAATACTCTTAAAGAATTACTAGATATATTTGAAAATTAGGCTTGCTGTTCAGATATGGCTACAGGCTTGTATACAAAGCTACTCGTTAATTGATATGCAATGTGGAAGTTACCATGACACTGACTGTACTTTTAAAACTTCAGAATAGCTCAAGAAAAAGATTTCAGTATTTTGCACCTTGCTTTGCTGCCTATTTCTTAATTTACTGAGTAAATCTGACTTCTCCTTTTGATGCTTATCCACGATCATATTCCATAATGGGTGCATCCTTGTATATGTAGAGATTTTTGGTAAGCAGTAGCTGTCTGGAGTGTATGTGTTCTGTGTCTGTTTGCATCATGTTTAAGATATGAAAAAATGGTGTGTGTCTGGCCATTTTTTCCAGCAACTTTCTTGGGAGAATCTGTCTTGGGAGGGAGATAAGTACTGGATTTAATGTCCTCTGTAGATACTGAAGATTCAGTGTCTCATTGCTTCACTGAAATCTGCATTGCCAGGAATAGGTTCAGCTGGAACTCCAAGGAACAGGGAAGTGAGACTGGACTGCAGACAATGCTTGGAAAAAAAATATTGCCACTGAGAAACAGAGCATCACCTTGGACTCTGCTCTAAGATTCTCATAAACTGTATTGGAAAAGAAAATGCACCTCAGAATGAAAAGTAAAGATGCTTCCAAGCATTTTTATTCATGGGAGAGGCATGAAGCTATTTGAAATCTCTGTAGAGTACATGTTAGTCATAAGAACTTCTTAATGTATATAAACAAACTCACTTTCTTGGCTGCATCACAAAATCAGACAACTTGGATAAATATTAATCTGTCCCCTGGGTGGCTTAGTCTGTCTCCAGATCTTCTGTATTTTTGGAGTATATTGGAGTT